CTGATTCATACGCAAGTCATTAGATATACTCTACGTATAAAAAATTTTTAAAAGCGAATCAGATTATTGACAAACAAGTTGATGAATCAAGAATATCAGCAGTCTCGTTTAAAGTCATCATTTCGTAAATTCTATGGTCGATACAATGACCTTGTCAGCAGATACAATTTGTCATTGAGTCAGGTGATGACATTAGTATGTTTTTCGTACTAATTGATGGTCCATTGTTTGAGCACTGAATTGACAACGGCTTTTCCCGTTGTTTCCCGGTCGTGACGGGGGGCTTTGGCGGATGAAACCCGGGTTTGTCAGGGGATGCACACTCCTCCTTGCACCTGATCCCACCTTCAATGTTTTGGAGATCCGTCTTGCTCTGCTCCTGTTTTGTATTGTTTTATGGACTTTTGATCTTGATTACTGTACATAATCTCCATATTTTTCACTTAGGAAGTGTAGATTTAAGTTTGTTCAACCACCCCCCTTCCCTGCCTTTGAATTCAATAATCCTAAACCCTTCAATACTGAACTGATTTTGGCTTTTACCTAGTCAGTTGCTCATGTGAGCGATGTGTCTCTTTGGCCTCTTGTTATATATGAGTTACCAAATGAATAGCTTATCTACAAATCTGCATAAAATATAAACTGTTGCAATTACATGTAGTTCTCATTTTTCTGTAGAATGGCATGCATACGACTAAAAGCCCATTGCTCCAACAAGCAAAATGTTTGGTCAGAGGGTCTTTCTTACGACCCGTTTTAGATGACATTGTACTTTCTTTGGAGCCAGGAATCTACGAAGAGGCAAATATGCCAACGAATGTAGAACAACTTTGGGGTCCTGTTCCTTTGCCAAAGTCTGACAAAGAAAATAAATGTCAGGTGGCTTCTCACAGGTAATGTACTCATATGTTTATACATTGTTTTTTATTATTTTTGTATTGAGATTTGAGGATATTCGGGTACTGACATGCACTCGTAATGGAGTCTATTTTATCTTTTATATTTTTACTTTTAATTGCAATTTTGAATATATGTACTTAACTTGATTTAAATTGTAGTTTTGTACTTTTATAGGCTACGAGACCCGAATGGAAACATTATGTTTACTTGTCGTTTAATACACAGTGTAAGCGTTATGACGTCAGTTGTTCATGTGTTCTATCATGACAAAATGGCTGCAGTTGCGCATGTTATAGGTTCTGATCAACTACCATTGGAAACACAGGTATATTACATTAATTTAGAAATCTTATTATGAAGATGAAACGAGTCAAACTTTTTCAATTTGTATTTTAAAAACAAATAGACATTTGTGGTATCTCTCTATTATGTAAACATACGGAGAACAAATATCTTTAATTCTATATGAAGTTTGTCTGAGGTCAGAGGTCAATACGGGACCTAATCACACGGCGCAATAATATCTACCGGTGCATTAATATAAAATGACTTGCTCTACTTGCTTTTCATGTATAAAAATGAACAAAATATGCAAGTAGAATAATAATTATTTTAAAACGTTAACAAGTATTCTATACAGTTTTTTGGCTATCGATTTAACCTGTGTACAATGGAGAATATACCGATAGAAACTAGCTTTTGATTACAAGTTTTATGTCACTTTTTTTCAACTGTACAGTCTCTAACGTTTATCCTTATTTTTACACTTTTAGTTAAATCTTCACAATAAACTATAATTTTTTCATCAAATTCTACTCACGATAAATGTTTAAATCTGTTGGAAAATATCAAAGCATTGCAATCACGCCATGAACAGCTGACAAACACCTCGGCGCTGTCATAGTTCAATGTAAGCTTTCGCTAGTGTCCCCGTGATTTGTTTATATTATAAATATGCATTTAGTTATTGAAATCGTAGAAGTTTTTGATCTTGATTGCAAATAAACGGACACGGTCAAGTGTTTCCATCCATCGGATCACCCATCCCTTTATGGCAACCGAAATTCCTCCAACTTTTCATCATCGATCTCCGGACTTCTTTCTTGTGTCTTTTCAGCATTGATTATCAATTTTCACGAATAGAAATATTCCCATACAACAATCTGTTCACTATTACTGATCACAAGTAGCCTTTCACAAAATAGTACCTTAGAAATAAAATCCCACGTCTAATGAATTCAAGCGTAACCGCCATTCAAGCCGATTTACACCTTGCGTCATTTTTCAAAATCTACGACGGACGGTTAGTGCAATAATTTATATTAGAAAATATTCAAGTGTCTGTCTCAAATGTATATATAAGTAATAAATAACAAGTTTATAAACTTCAATGGGAATTGAAGTGGGTCGGTCACGTGATCAAATCCTGTGAAGTTTATACACTTGTTATTTATTTGTTAAATATTTCTATGACTTCTACTTCTTTTAAAGTATGCCACACAGACGTACATTTTTATATCATTATTATCGTTAAACTGTATATTGAACATTAATTCAGAGATATCGGAATTTTCTTTAATTGATATATCAAGCAGGTAGGGCCGGAAAACATTTGGTTGGACCCAGGTTCTGGCTAAAGAGCTATTGTAATCAAAACTGAAGAGGGAGATTCCCTGATTCTTGTGGGGAAGTGGGACGGATTTATCAGGAGGATCCCTGGAAAAGGTACTATATATATATATATCCAAAATTTAAATAATGTCTCAGTAATCGGATAACAATATTTAAAAAAAGGTAAAAAAGAAAACACAAAAATCCTCAGTTAAGCTTTAGCGCTTTCATTTTTCAATCTTCAGAAGCTTACAATAGTATCATAGTAACAGTGATTATGACGTCATGTTAAGCGGAACGTTAAATGTCTATTATGACGTCATAGATACAATATGACAAAAGTACGGGGAAATCATAAGTAATTTATAAAACACTATTAAGTTTTGGCTGAAAAATACTAATAAAATGTTTTTCTTTTTCCCGTCTCTGGATATCAGTGGCACAACTGAGTTTATAGAAAGGGAAAATTTTGAATTGTTTTTTACCACACACTTCCAGGTGCGAACTTAATTGAATTTGTCTGTATTCGGGTGTACTAATGTGTTGCTTATGTACACGTACACGGGCACGGAGAGTGTTGCCGGTTTCACCAATATAATATTCTTTGCATCCAGGACATGTGATGACATAAATGACATTTTTTGTATCGCATGACATGTTTTCTTTAACTCTAAATTCACGTCCATTGAAATTATAGCTGGTCCCTTCTGTAATGTATTCACATGTACCGCATCGAGGGTTCTTACACTTAGAGACTGTATAAGTATGGTGTTGAATTTGGAAGAACAAAGTATTCTCTTTAGGTTTTTCGGTTGGCGTTTACTGTTGATAAAACGACAATTCTTGTATACGTTTTTTGTTTGTTCGTCCTCTCTAAGTACCTTGTTCAATTCATGAATAATTGAACTCACGTTTTGATTTCTCGGGTTATGCGTGTGCACAAATGGAATTATTTCAACGTCATTCGCACGTGGTATGTTTAAAAGTAACTGACTTCTATCGCACTCCTTGGCTTTCTTTATACCATTATCTACAAGTTGTTCTGGATATTTTTGGTTTAATAAATACAATTTTAATTCCTCCAGTCGAATATCCCTGATATTGGTATTACTCACAATGGTGCATATTCTTCTTGCGAGGTTATATGGTATAGCTGTTTTAGTGTGATGGGGATGGCTTGATCCAAAATGCAGATATTGGTGTGTGTCGGTTGGTTTATAGTAAATATCCGTATTTAAGCTGGTATTATCCTTTGTTACAAGAACATCGAGGAATGGCATTTGCAAATCATCGGTTTCCATCGTGAATTTGATATCCGAATTCATTTGGTTAAGTAGATCATAAAACTCCGTTAGTTTATCGACATCCTCCTCCCATAAGATAAAACAATATATATATATATATATATATATATATATATATATATATATATACTGTAAATTGGCAAATATTTACGATGGTTTTAATTTTTACTATATGTTCGCGATTTATCATTTTTCCGCGAAATTAAACCCATCGTGAATAATATCATAAGTTTTTAACAGGTCTGGACGATTTTCAAAGATGGAAGTCAAGAACGATAATCGTGAATTGCTATAAATACACAGAATAAACAAGGTGCTAATCCTCGAAGCTTCTGATAAACCATCACGTTTAGACAAACCATCAGAAAATAAATAAATCACGTGGGTTTTAAACTTTTCTGCTCAAAAGATTCTTTTAGAACAATCTTTTTGTAAACTTTATGCATATTTAGAAATGAAACAGCATAAATGACAATACTATCGTGAAAAAACACAACTTGAAAGGTTGGAAAAAATTCTAAGTGGGATTTAAAATATGTCAATACCAGGTAGCTATCCCAAAAGTTTATCTTGTGTTAAAAAATTGACATAAATGCAGCAGATTTTCAGTTATTAGAGCCTGGTATGAAAATGTTTTCAGATGGGAATGTTTTTAATATTTTAATTATTTCCTGAGTATTTATTACAAAATCGTCCAGTTTCTGGTATGCATGGTAAGTTATGGTGAAAGAGCATTAATCTACATTGCTTTTCTCGACGTTTTACGCGTTTCCTTACAGTGAATGTACATTTAAAGTGTTTATAACATGACTGTATTCAGTGCACGTGAAACCCGTGATATTTTATAACTACGTTTAGTCTACACAATGAACACATGTATACAATAGAACTATACCCATGAAAACTACGCGATATCGCTGAAAATCGGACAGCTATGCAAATTATTGTTACTGACAAGTGACAAATAGTATATCTTATGAAAATGTATAAAAATTATAGTTGATAATAACTTGACGGTCTGATCTATTCCTCCGTAAACTATCGCATTGATACACGCATGTATTTAATATTTTCATTTTCAAGATGAAAATGTCAAGTTTGTTCACGGTAAATATGTGGGGAATACCTTATTCTTCCAAACCTGTCATCTTACGTCTAAATATTTTTGTCAAAAAAATATTTTTTTCGAAGAAAAAACAAAAGGACGTGTTCTCCTTTTGTTCCTTTGAAATATGTTTTGGGGCGCGTAAAAATACTGCTGTCTGATTAGATAGAAAAATATTTACGTGTACATGATGTA